TTCGTGTCGACCCGTATTTTTTTTAAATTATTTTATTTTTTATTTTTTATTATTTTTTTTTAATTTTTTTTAATATCGATCCATTTTTTAAATTTTTTTTTGTCAATTACTATTTTGACCTCTATCGTGTTGTGTCAACCCGCAAAAAATTCATGTCGTGTCAGTGTTGAAGATTTTGACACGAATAAACATTCGTGTCGTGTTAGTGTTGATGTATTTGTGTCGTGTCGAATTCGTGTCGTGTCGACCCGTTTTGACACCCCTACCAAGAACCAAATGTATTTTAGTGGTAAAGACTATAATTTATATCTTCATAACAAGGGTTCGATTCCCACTAAATGCTATTTTGAAATAATTTTATTAAATGATAATATATATTAAATGGTGTATATTAATCAACAAACAAACTCAGCCTAGTGGTAAGTTGTTGTTGGACATTCTCATCAGACTCCAGTTTGAATCCGGTTTTAACAACACTGATCCCAATCATTCATAAGAAACTTAATTTAATTTTTAATTGTACACGTAAATTATCGATGGATGATTGATATATTCCATATTTCTTAATTATGTTAAAATTAGATTTAAGATGATCCATTCCCTAACACAAGTACTTATATATGTACAGTATTCCATAATGAGAGAATATATTATATAGAAATATAAAAACATAAACAATAAAGTATATTGAAATCATAATATAAATTCATGATATTCTAACTTAAGTAAAAACAATTAAAACGATGCACAAGTTTTGAAGGGAGTGAAATAGCACTTTATTTCATTTAATAACAAATCAAAAAACTTAATTAACAAAACTTAGTATTATCTATCAGGGAAAATAGTTTATCCTTTTAAATGACACAACTTATATTCTTTCACTCTCACAAATAGGTTGGATCCACACTTTTATTTTTTTTGTCAACTCTCTTTTCTCCTTTATCTATTTCTTTCTCTCTCTTAAAATAACACAATTTTACATCCTTTAAAATGATAATATAGTATGCATGAATTAGTTTGCGTCTCAAGTGATAATATAGTACTGTGTACATAACTACATGTACTTAATAAATACTGGTACCAAATGTATACGTAGTATGGGTACGGTAACTACGTAAGAATATCCATAACATCATAGCACTCTCCGCTTTCTCTCTCTGATGAGGCCGTAACAAGAAAAGCATCTCAGCGTAATGTTTTTCAAATTCGTAAGCATCACTTTTGCACTTTTGTAGGGCAGTCGTATTCTTCAGCTGTTGCACCATTCAATACAAGTACAACTACGAGCCCCTTGTTCATAGACAGGATCTTATTTAAACATGTAACCTTCGCAGGCAGAAAAATTAATTTAATGTTTTTTAATAAAATAATTATGTATTTATTATATTTTAAGAATAATTACGGATCTATTGCATAATATAACACCCTTTTGGGCATCACATGTGACGCCCTATTTAGGCGTTTCACCCTAAAGAGAGACGCCCCACATGTGACGTCCCATTTAGGCATTTCACTCTAAGGAAAGTCAGGTGTTGATACGTGTCATTTTTTTTTTTCAAAAAAAAAATTAATATAATCATAAAATTTTTGAAAGCCATAACTTTTGACTCAGGTATCCAAATCAGGTAATTCTTTTTTTGATTCCACATAACTTTTCGAGATCTACGCAATGACATCTCATTTGATATATTTTATTTCTCACAAACATAATTTTAATTTGCAAGAATGATATTAGAAGAGGGTTAAACCAAGAAGCCTCTGAATTCTGGGTTTGTGATTTAATATAAATAAATAAATAAAATTTTGATTTGTGATTTAAATTTTTTTATAAATTTTTATTTTTTTTATTATAACAAAAATTTGGTTTGTGATTTAAATTAAAAATAACAATTATTATTAATGAGGAAAATAAAATAAAGATTTGATTTGTGATTTAAACTAAAAAATTAATTTGAAAAATCTGTAGAAACAAAGAAAATAATTAAATAAATATTCTAAATCTCTAAAGAAAAATGATATTATTTTTGAAATTAATGATTAATGCTATAAGATTTTGGGTTATTATTCGTGGTCTGAAATTAATGATGGCTTATGAATGTCTTTCAAAAATAAAATTACCTAAATTAGGCGTGATTGTCTCTTGATTGAAACTCAATTTAGACGTGATTGGTGACGTGTCAGGTATTGGCACGTGTCACATTTTTAAACTCAGAAGCTTCTGAGTTATGCGTTTGTGATTTAATATAAAAAATAAATCAAGATTTGATGTGTGATTTAAATTAAAAAAATAAAAAAAATTATTTTTATTATAAAAAAATTTGGTTTGTGATTTAAATTAAAAGTAAAAATTATTATTAATAAGTAAAACAAAATAAAGATTTGATTTGTTATTTAAACTCAAAAATTAATTTGAAAAATCTGTATTAATAAAGGAAATAGTTAAATAAATATTCTAAATCTCTAAGGAAGAAGGATTACCTGATTTAAATTTAAATTATGTTTGTGAGAAATAAAATATATCAAATGATATGTCATTGCGTAGATCTCGAAAAGTTATGTGGAATCAAAAAATAAATTACCTGATTTGAATACCCGAGTCAAAAGTTATGGCTTTCAAAGTTTTATGATTAAATTATTATTATTATTTTTTTAAAAATGACACGTGTCAACACTTGATGAGTGACGACTCAATGGGGTGTCACATGTGACGCCCAAAAAGGGCGTCACATTGTGCAATAGATCTGTAATTATTCCTAAAATTGTAATAAATGCGTAATTATTTTATTAAAAAGTATTAAATTAATTTTTTTGCCAATGTTCGTACCATTACGTGATATATATATATAGGGATTTGCATTTATCATTTAACATGACACAAGAAAGTTTCCTACACATACAACATTTTTTGGGGCCCACACTTTTTAAAGCAAAAAAAAAAAAAAACTACACACGCAAAACGAATCTCTATAACATTACACAATCATTTTTCCTACAACATAACTCTTATTAAACTCATATATATATATATATATATATATATATATATATATATATATATATATGTTTTGTGTGTGTGACATGGCTCTAGGTCTTCGAATCCTAAACTGAAAATGCCCGAAAAAAAATATAAAACAAAAATTATTTGGCTGACCAGGGTGGCCTACAAGTGGCAACAACTTTGGACATCATCGTCCTGGAGAAAACAAATAATTGCATGACGTTGACTTAGCATGGTTGACCTTTGATCTTTCTAGGTATAGTCTGCCATTGAAAAAAATAAAAAAATAATTACAAATCGAAAATACAAGTGAGATGAGGAGGATGCAGATAGAGAAAAGCTTCTTGCACTCATGTCCGTGTGGCTTCAAAATCTAACTATGTTAAGTAAAGTGAGAGATCAATTGAGGTTTCAAGTAATCCAACTTGTCATTTCAGATCGTGGTATTTCTTATCCTGACATCGTCTTCCTCCCCTGATCCTTCTGCTTTCTATGTCTCTTTCTTTAAAAATAAAATAAAAATAATTCAATAAACCATTTTTTCCCCCACCTTTTTCTTCTTTTACTTGTAGCTCAGACTTTAAACATTTTTCCCCTTTTTAGTTTTTATCAATCTTCTAGACGAGTTTCCGATCTGAATAACCCATTTTCGTATGTTAGTCGTCTTTTCGGAATAAATTATGTTATCCATTTGCAACAAATTAGATATCCACAAAAGGTATATTCTTGGGAATACATCAATGCTTGTGATTAGTCCAACTTCGAGATTTAATTATAAACAAATAATAGCAATACTTAACAAATTTCCATGGCTTCACTGCCACCGTGCAAAACACTATTGGTTTCCTTTCCTCTTCAAATAAAACTAAAAACAAAAGTAAAAAAAAAAAAAACCAAATCAGTTTTCTCTCATATATAAGACTGCACAAAAGGGAGACCTTGGGGGTGATGATGATCCACGACTTTTCCTCTTTAAATATTTTTAAAATAAAAAAAAATCAATAAATAGAGATGTGAAATTAGGGCTGAATAGTGAGTAAATTCAATCAATTAAACATGTGAGGTTGGGAAAGGAAACTCACGTTTCGCTCGGACCAGGAGCTAACGCTGCTCTTCGATTCAGACACATACATCAAATTCCAAAATCGTAAAAACCAAATAGTAAAACTTTTAAGAACAACATTAACAACAACAGCAAAAGTAAATCTTCAAGTTCAGAATAAATTTCTTTGGAACTGTTTGTGCTGCTGCCTATGCACTGTTGCACGTCGTCCACCTAAAAAAGAAGGCTCTGCTAAACAAGGAATTTCGGACCAAGCTACTAGCGATTTTCAAAAAAAAACCCAAAGGATCTCAATATTACGCACGAAACACGCGAAAATAATAAAGGAAAACTCACATTAATTGCAATTTTACATCCCCAGCTAAAAAATCTCATAAACCTCGCCACCGGAGAATACAACACTCGTTTATAAATAGATATTCAAAAAAAAAATATCAAATCCCAAGGAACATAAATTTTAGTACACTACCATGGTGGCAAATTCCAAAACGATACACCGAATCACAGAACAAAAAAGGAAGGACAATAACAATAAAAAAACATGATCATGTTTTCCATCCATACATAATATACGCAATTGACACATTAATAAGGCTCCAAATTTCATGGAAAAAAAATTTGCGCGTCTTTTTTTTTTCCATTGACACAGCCATTGTCCCAAACCACCAGGCCCATGATGCTGAACCAGATTATATAAATACAATCACCTGTTACCAACAAGAAAATTGAGCTGCAACAACACGTGACGACCAAGTAAGCCACTGCACATACATTTTCACGCACGCAGCACATTAAAACATTAACATAAACTCAAGATAACGCCGAAATTTCTTCCTCATTCTCCTCCAACTTTTCCTCTCTACAAATTTTTTCCCTTTTTTTCTTGATTTTTTTTTTCTTCTAATACTATTACATTGCAATTTATCTCGGAATTTTTTCATATAATAATATTTTATTTTTAATATCTCTCTCTCTCTCTCTCTCTCTCTCTCTCGTGTTCTCTTCAGTTTGGCCGAAAACAGATCCCTCTTTCTTTTCAGAGTCTCTGCTTCATTCGATCTCGTCAATCGAAATTTCCAGACATTCTCAGTAACTCAATTTCCTCCGAAAACCTTTTTGCTGCGTTTCTATGCTCGGGATTTCAATTCGCCACTGGGTTTCCAATTTTCCTTTTCTACCGTTGCTCTGTTTCTTGGAATTCTGTTCTATTCAGGATTAGGGTTTATGTTCTGTTTTCGGTTTCGATTTTTTCGGGAGCGAAATTCAGAGCGTGGAGTATTTGATCGTTCCTTCTTTTTAGAATGATAATCAAGCGGAACCTGAAATCCCAAATGCCGAGTCAGAAGCGGTGCAGACTCGGTGCCTCGGCGGTTGAGGATGACGAGTGCGCGGCAGAAACTCGGAAGAGGAAGAAGAAGAAGACCAATGAGCACTACCCTCTGAATCTCCTCGCCGGCGTAATTCCCATGAGCTTCCGCGGCTTACTCGGCGCCGGCGGTGGAGTTTCTGAGAAGGTCGAAATTGAATCGAACTCGAAGGGGGGCGGCGGCAACGGCGGCGAAGGAGTCAAGAAGAATGCTACGCGGCCGCCGCTGGTGCGGACTTCGCGGGGCCGAGTACAGGTGCTTCCTTCGAGGTTCAATGATTCGGTTATTGAGGATTGGAGAAAGGATAGCAACAAGGGTGCTACTAGCTTGCCTGATTATGAATTTGAGTGTGGGAAGAAGTTGAATTTCAGGGCAACGAAAAATTCTAACCATGGTGCGAGGAAAGGGAAGAACGGTCACAAGCCTCCCACATTGTGTGAGGAGGTGCTGCTTAAGAATTTTGACGCCAAGCGTGGTAAGGTGTTTGTTGAAGATGTTGTGGGGTTTGTGGAATTAACGGGTGATGAGAGAGTTTTGAAGGAGAAGAAGAAGAAAGATGGGTTGTATGGACCAGAAGACTTTTATGCAGGTGATATAGTGTGGGCCAAAGCAAGGAAGAAGGAACCTTTTTGGCCTGCCATTGTTATTGATCCTATTTGTCAGGCACCTGAGCTGGTCTTGAAGTCTTGTATAGCTGATGCAGCTTGCGTGATGTTTCTTGGGTACTCTGAGAATGAAAATCATAGGGTATTTATTTACTGTGAGCTACTTTGTGTATATAGCTTGTTTGATATTTAGTGACATGTATCTTTTGAGATAATGTGTATTTATTGTGCTTTATGATGCTGAGCAGGACTATGCGTGGGTAGAGTATGGGATGATTTTTCCATTTATGGAATATGTAGACAGGTGTGAATTGTTGGTTGTTGTTGTCTATTTGTTTAAATTGTCTAGAACTATCGTTTTTTATTTTTCTTTCCGGAAGAATTTGGGCTTACTAGGCATGGTATTACTTGAACTAGGTTCCAGAGGCAGTCTGAATTGAGTAGCTGTAAATCCTCCGAATTTCAAAAGGCAATAGAGGAGGCATTTTTGGCAGATCAGGGCTTTACAGAGAAGTTGATAGCAGATATAAATACAGCCGCTTGTAACAATGGTTACAGTGATTCTATTTTGAAAGGCTTCCGTGAGGTTGATGGTTCAAACCAGAATGAAGGATGCCACTTTCTGAGCCAGGTAAGTCATCATCTACAGGGCATATTTTTTTCATTTGGGGATCTGCATGGCTGTTCAGTGTCTGTTAACCTACTTATGCACCGTATTTAGATGATACTTAAGGAAAGCTGATAATTTCAAACTTAAATTTGAAACTGAAAATTGATTGTGGCTCTACTTGGTCCTTTTCTTATTAGTTGGCCTAAGACTGACTTTGTAGATTTGATGTACTAATTTGTTTTGCTTAGCTTATGCAATTATTATGCCCTTCTCCATACTACATCAAAGTGCGGGAATGAGGGAGCCTACTGACATCTGGTTAAGTTTTAAATAACGGTTTGCAAAATAACGGTCCATATGTAGGATTTATTTGATAAGAAGAAAGACAACCGACCCTGTGAAGTATGTGGATTGGACCTTCCTTTCAAAACGCCAAAGAAAACAAAGGATTTGAATCCTGGCAGCCAATTCCTATGTAAAACATGTGCTAGGGTTTGTATAACTTTCCTTGTTCTCCTAACAATTTACATTTAAGTTTGCAGTCTTTGAAATCAATTTTTCTTTTGACAGTTAACAAAATCTAAACATTATTGTGGCATATGCAAGAAAGTTTGGAATCATTCAGATAGTGGAAGCTGGGTGAGTTAGTTGGATCCTTCCAGCTATTTAAGATTATGTCGTTTTCTGCTCAAAACTATTTTTTTTCCAAGTATTAATTGTTTCCCCTTTCCGATGTTCCCCTTGAATTAGGTGCGCTGCGATGGATGTAAAGTGTGGGTGCATGCAGAATGCGACAAAATCTCCAGCAATCTTTTCAAGGTTTTTCCGTTGCTCTTGACGTCTGAATAATGTCACTTCTCAGCATTCGAAGCTCATAAAGAGACATTTTGTTTTATTCTGATTGATATATTCTGTTTTTTAAAGAATCTTGGAGGCACTGATTATTTCTGCCCTACTTGCAAAGTGAAGTTTAATTTTGAGTTATCTGATTCAGAAAAATCACAGCCAAAAGTCAAGTAAGTTTATGTGGTTCTTACTTCTTCTCTCCACCCCTTATTGCAGCTTGACTTAATAATTCCATGTAACTTTCTCATGCATCCAATCTCATTTCTTAGAATTCAAGTTCATCTGGTGATTTATCATATATTTTTTAGGTTTTTTTAAAATATATCTGTCATTTTTGCTTCTTGTCATCTGTATTTCTGACAATCGTGGAGACTTTTGGTATAGATGGAACAAAAACAGTGGGCAGCTAGTGCTTCCAAACAAGGTCACTGTTCTCTGCAATGGTGTGGAAGGCATATATTTCCCAAGCCTTCACTTGTAAGCACAAATTCCTTCAAAAGTATTTTGCATAATTTTCCCCCCTATCCTGTGATGTCTCTGTCATCATTGTTTTTAATTGCTATAGTTATTTATTACTTATAATTAGTTGGTTTATTTCAAAAAGGCATTGCAAGCAGTAAAAGATTAATACCTTTTCTACTGTTAGAGTATAATATAAACCATTAAAAAGACCCTCACCTAACAACTTAAGCTTTTGGGTTGAATTGGTTCTTTACATGGTATCAGAGCCTCAGTGTCACGGGTTCGATCATCACCACCCCTCACTTTCTCTTGTGGAATTTCTTAGCACAGGTAGGCTGGGTCTGATGCATCATCCACCCTTTAAGCCCAATAGACTCTTGTGTGAGAGGGCGTGTTAAAATATAATATAAACTATTAAAAAGGCCCTCACCTAACAGCTTAAGCTTTTGAGTTGAATTGATTCTTTACATCTACATTGGTAATTAAAACATCCAATCATATACCTGTCTTACTTTCTGATTTTGTGTTTTTCTCTTTTTTCTCTTAAAGAGGGCGAAGGTGGCAATAGTTCATTATTGGGCTTTTGTGATTACTAAAAAAAATACCTGATGATAATTTTAAGAACATTGATGCTTAAGTTCGTCTATGTGACTAGTAAATCAACAGAAAAGTTATATCCGAAGAATATTCTCTCTTGCTCTAGTGGAAGGATTCCTTCATCTGTTTGAATGTTGACCATATTTCCATCAATTTGAATGTACATGCTCTTCTTTTATGCTAATTCATTGAAATTCAGTATACAGAATATGAAATCTAAGTCCATAGGTGCAATAAATGAAAATTGATAATGAATGATGTTTGCAGTTTCACACATAATATTTTATACTTTTCATGAAAGTAATCTTGTAGTAAACATTTATTGGCTTTTGTTCTCTTGTTCATTTCTGTTTGGTTTGATGGGATTAAAGTAAAATGTTTTAAACATCTTGTAGAATCAGATACCTATCTAATTTCCTGTGGCATTACCTTGTTCTAAACTGATTGATACTAATTTTTAATAAGATGTTATTATCATTTCTAAATGATTCATTTCTTCTTTTCGGTTATGATATGGAGGGAAAAAAAATTAATTCATGGTTTTCCTTGGTCTTCTTCAGAGTTGTGTGCAAGTGTGGTTTTTGTGAGACTGAAAAGCAAGCTCTTCCTGAGTGGGAACGCCATACAGGTTCCAAATTTAGAAATTGGAGAACAAGTATTCGGGTGAAAGGATCCATGCTATCACTGGAACAATGGGTTCGTATATGTCTACATTATTTGATTTTGGTGCATAATATTCCCCATCTCTTTGCCCTGAAAATAATGAACTTATTTATTAGGTTACTCTAGTATAATATGACTGTTCAAGTGTCTAATCATCCTCTTTCTAGACTTGTAATTCAGTATAATACATTCGATGTACTTCTAGGCTTGCTATATATCAGTAACATTCTACCAGTTGGTGTTATTAAAAGTTTTTTTTCCATCTTAGCAATAAGGTCTTAAATTTAATAATATCACTATTCATCAATGTCGATTTTTTATTTGAATTATGAAGTCCTCGGTGTCAAAATGCCAATGATACTGACCTATTGAGAATCCTTAGGAACTTATAATATTAGTCTAGTCTCTTATGATGTAGCATATGGGACACTTAGAAGAAGAAATATTCAGTTTGCAGATTTATGGAGGACAAGGCCTTTATTGTAAGACATAAGTTAATATAATTAATACATCCTTTTTGACTTCTCAGATGCTGCAATTGGCAGAGTTTCATGCTAAAGCTGTAGTTTCTATCAAACCTAAAAAACCTTCCTTAAAAGAAAGGAAGCAGAAGTTGCTTACCTTTTTGCAAGGTACCTTTTAAGTTTTAACTCCTTCCTTTCTTTGTACGAATTTAAAATATAAGTTTCCTAGATGAATTTATCAGAGCCATAATGGAACCATAAACAATTTTCTCTTACAGAAAAGTATGAACCTGTTTGTGCTAAGTGGACTACAGAACGATGTGCTGTATGTAGATGGGTTGAAGATTGGGACTACAACAAAATTATCATTTGCAACAGGTAATATAGCATCTTCAGTTTATTAGCTATTGACCTATTGTAAATATTCAAAGTTCAAACCATGAAGACAAAGGGATTAGAAGAAGTTACTGCAAAGGGCTAAATATTTCATAGCTTATAAACGTACTGAGGTATCTGCAGTGTTTTTGCATAATGCATTTGACAAGAATATGCACCCTGTCATATGATTTTCAATTACTTGTACAGCAATCTCTCATTCTGCTTTGCCTAATCATTTTTGCATCTTTTCCATCCTCATTTTTCAGTCGGACCACTGACAATCAAATCATCTGCATATAAAACCATAATTTTTCTTCTTCTGCAAGCTAGTACTATCAACCAATACTTTTTTGGTGATTTTTTTTTTTTTGACTCTGATGAATTGCATTACAATTAATGTAGAGTTGCATTATATTTTATAGATGTCAAATAGCTGTTCATCAAGAATGCTATGGAGCAAGGAATGTTCGAGACTTTACGTCATGGGTTTGTAAAGCTTGTGAAACACCTGACATCAAGCGGGAGTGTTGTCTTTGCCCTGTAAAAGGTGTGTCTTCTTCTGCAATATTTGAGGTGTATTGTGTATAAATTAGTCATTCTTTTATTTGTTTCATAATGCTATAGACTCACCTCCTTGTGAATTCTATTTTGTGGAATTTCCCCCACTTGATTCTTTTAACCTTCTACATGCACATAAATCAGTTTTACTCTTCTTTTCCTCTTTTGATTATTATGTTTAGGATACTGTCACGTTGCTTCGTAAATTTTTTTTATCTTTTCTTTGTTATTAATGTCTATAATCTTATTCTCTCAAAAATTATTGGACACTCAGGTGGTGCTCTAAAGCCAACTGATGTTGACACATTATGGGTTCATGTCACTTGTGCTTGGTTTCGACCTGAAGTCTCTTTTGCTAGTGATGAGAAGATGGAGCCTGCTTTGGGTATTCTGAGCATTCCATCAAATTCTTTTGTGAAGGTGAGGTATCGTTACTACTTTCTTTCTTGTCTGTTTAGAAAATGTACTTCATATCTTTTCTTAAAAGAAAAAGTATAGTATATTACTATCAGTCTATCACTTTATTGTGTATACATTTGAGTTCAAATAAAAAATAATAAAGTTTTCCCCTGTTAATAAATGTTAGTCATCAATTGATGTAGGTTACTGTTTGCTTATTTCACTCTATGCTGCATCGTTCAAACCACATTATAATAGTATATATCTGATTTGGTTGTTTCTCTCAGCAAGTCTGGTTTACGCGCAATATAAAGATTCAGATTTCTTAATATGACTATCATTTAGATGTCTCTTAGTCCTGTCGTACATGCCGATGCAATCTAAAGTTTGCATTAATTGAATTTCAGATTTGTGTTATTTGTAAGCAAATTCATGGTTCGTGCACACAATGTTGCAAGTGTTCCACTTATTTCCATGCCATGTGTGCATCAAGGGCCGGTTATCGCATGGAGGTGAGGATTCACTCAGATTGTCTTGTCTTCCATTTGCATAATTATTGTTGTTATGTTCTGATATGGACTTGCATTTAATTTTGAACAGATTTAATGCCCATTTTCATTTTATTAACCTGGTTTATGCAATTATAATTTTAGCTTTAATCATACAATTTGATGACTGATTACGGTCATTCACCAGTCACCTTCATAGAGCTTTGCCTTGCACTTCTTGTTTGGGCTTTAATCGAATAAAGCAGCTTAATTTTCATGCTGTAAGAAGATTATCACTGCTCATAATCTTGAAGGTTTTACTGGAAAATATTTTTTCACCTATATATTAAATATTAAATTCGTATCTATTACTTGCATAACCATTTATATTGCCATATTTATGTATTACATTTCCATTCTGCATGGGTTATAACATCTTTATTTTTCCCTGCTTTTGCATTTGCAGTACAGTCAACAGGATCTTTACAATAAAAAATTCCATGTACCTATATCATTTTATGATAAATTTTGATTTTTAAGCATTTCAAGAACATTTTTTTTTAGCACTATGTACTACAATAACAATGTAGAAAACTTACATGTTATTCTTTTGAAAAAACCTGTATGTGATACAGGTGATTTGCAAAGAATTTGTAGAGGTGGCTTGCGATAAAAGAAGCAGAATAGTCTGCTATATATTTATGAAATCTGATGTCAATAATCATTATTAAAATATACTTCTTCATATTTTAGTCTGAGCTTATTCTGTTTCGTGGCTGACTTAGTTGATAAGTTGCATTATTTTCTCATGGGTATTTTACTATCCATGAAATAATTATTAAATTTTCTCCCCTGTAAATGCAGTTGCATTGTTCGGAGAAAAATGGTAAACAGACAACAAGAATGATTTCTTATTGTGCTTACCACAGGTATAGGATCCTCAATTACAACAAAATGGTTTCTCCTTCATCTCTTTCTACTGTTTCCTTTACAGGATTTGCTTTTGCCAATCACTTCTATTGCTTTTCCTATTGCGCATATATGGGTCTATTTGAAATTCATCTTAATCTTATTTTCAGCGTAATCATGTCCAAATTTCTTGCAGGGCTCCCAATCCAGACACTGTTTTGATTATGCAAACCCCTCTTGGTGTAATTTCAACCAAAAGCCTTCTCCAAACTAAGAAAAAAGCTGGGTCAAGGTTAATTTCATCTAACAGAGCAAAGGTAGAAGACATTCCTCCTGCAGATAACACTGGACACGAGCCATTCTCTGCTGCTAGGTGTCGTATCTTTCAAAGAACAAACCATACAAAAAAGGTAGCTTGGAGAATATTTGTTTTCATCAGTGAATGTTTGTAAGATAACAATCAACTTAACATTGTCTCTGACAATTATTTTATGCTGTTTGCCCTATTTATATTTCTAGTGAAAGTGCTTTTGGGAAATGTTGATTTTAGCACTCAATCTGTGTTAGCAATATATTATTACTAACAACGAGTACTACTTTGCCAAATGTGCTTGCTGACTCTTGAGTGGATCCAGACTTATATGTGATGTAATGGTGAAATGTCATTCTTATTGCTTTTTGCTTTGATTCCTTCACTTCCTATGTTCACAATAGAGATCTTGTTATCCACCATTGCCTCTATTATGTCCTTTTGCATCTTTATCAGTTCGTGTAAAATAACACTTTCTCATTTTTATTTTTTCTACTTGCTAGAGAGCAGCAGATGAAGCCATTGCTCATCAAGTGAGGGGTCACTACCATCATCCTTTAGATGCAATACATAGTTTAAATGCATACAGAGTAAATCTTTTATCTTCTCCAATCTAAATGGGGTTTTCCTATTCATTGTTTTATCTTGAACGTAACATTTAAACTATGTCCAGCCCCCTTATTTAACTCTTTTACTCATTTCCCCCCTTCAAACAGGCGGTAAATGAACCTCAGGCATTTTCTTCTTTCAAGGAACGCCTTTGCTACTTACAGGTAAATCTTCTCTTTCTGAAGTGGTTTATTTGCATGTGGTGATCGATTTTCTGATTGTCTTATGGGTACGCTTGCATGATTTCAGAGAACTGAAAACGAACGGGTTTGCTTTGGTAGATCGGGCATACATGGATGGGGCCTCTTTGCACGTAGAAATATTCAAGAAGGAGAAATGGTATGGATGTTATACTCAAATATGAAAAGATTACAAAGACCCATGGTATCTTGGCCTATTTGAGAATTTGAAAGTCTTTCAGACATGATCTTTTCTGACTTAAAGAATACTGTATAATGATTCGTTTCAATAATATTTTAACAACCTTTGGTTTCTTAAGTAGTTTCGCAGTAGTTAAAACATAGAAAGCATGTTATGTGCCATCATATTCATGGGAATAGCTTTGAATTCAAGCGCAAGGCTGTGCAGTAGTTTCTAAATGATGCAAAACCTGACAGTCCAATTTCCTTTCTTCTGTATCTTTTCTCTTTTTGAACTGTTTTTGTCTTAAGAGTACTATACCGAGTTGGTTTCTGGTTCAGGTGTTGACAAAAATTTAAATCTCTTTTGCTTCCATTATGGTATGAAATAAGATTATCATATTTGCAGAAGCATGAAACCATTGTCCAATGATCCATTGTGTTCCAGCTTTCCATTTAAATCAGAATACAACCTTTATTGTAGCAATAATGACCATGATATATTCCGAAGCAGGTTCTTGAATATCGTGGTGAACAAGTGAGGCGCAGCATTGCAGATCTAAGGGAGGCACGCTATAGATTAGAAGGGAAAGACTGCTATGTGAGTTAATCCTTCTCCCCCTCCCCTGGGTTGTTCCTTGTGTTTATGGCCTCTAGATTTAAATGCCAAAGCATTGCCCTGGACTTCTCTTTTTGTCATTGGGATTTCCTCTTCTTTTTTCTTTGCTGTTCCTTGTTGAAGTTTCCTGCTCATCTTAATTGTTTGTATTTCATCACATTAAACTCTCCTGGTTTCATATTTTTTTGCAGCTGTTCAAGATAAGTGAAGAAGTGGTAGTAGATGCCACTGATAAAGGAAATATAGCGCGGCTGATTAACCATTCTGTAAGTCAACCTAACTATAGCACACTGCTCATTTTTTGTGGTTGGGACTTGTGCGATTATTCCCTTCAAAAAAATTAAAAATTGGCAGTCTTTGAAAAGGGATACTGGCTTATAGGCTATAGGAGGAGCTAAATATTGCTGATATTTATCCGTTTTTGTACATCATTGCTTTCTTATACCCTCACTACTGGTTATTAGTCATCTCATCTTACCTTACCAGTTCTTGGTTCATGTTAATACAGTGTATGCCAAATTGCTATGCAAGGATCATGAGTGTGGGTGATGACGAGAGCCGGATTGCACTCATTGCTAAGACTAACGTATCTGCTGGCGATGAGCTAACGTATTTCCACATCTCTGTCTGAATGTGTTTCTGTGTGCACGTGCATTGGTATTATTTCAGCATGCATTTTCTTTTTATGAAGTTCCGTTTTAACATATGTTGATTGTAACTGGCAGGTATGACTACTTGTTTGATCCTGATGAGCCAGATGAATTTAAAGTCCCTTGTTTATGTAAAGCTCCAAACTGCCGGAAATTCATGAATTAGGATCATTGAGTTCATGATGACAAGGATTGTTTCTCCGCAAGGAGCACTAACCCATCCCCCTCATCAGTGGGAACCTCACAGTTACACCCCAGCTGTAATTTTAATCAAAGCATAAGAAAAAGTATAGGAAAAAAAAATGGCATAGTTTTTCGTTTTTACCCTCAGATGCTTACTTGGAGTTTTACTTTCCTTTGACATTCTTGATAGCCTAATAAAAGCTGTAGATTTAGCAGCTTTTTGGCTCTTGGCTTCTTTGTAAATGTGTCAGAAAATTTTACTATTTTCTTAATTTAATGATAACCCATCATTTCTTGCTGCTGTTGCAAGTATTTTGCCTGTCTTCCTTTACTTACAATTTCAAGGGCAAAGTTCTAATACATGGATTGTTAGAGATAAATTTTAAAAATTCAATTGAATTGTTGGGTGTACTAAACGGAAAGGATATTATGCCTATCATTTTTTATGCCTATTATATCTGCTCTTCTTCAACACCATTAGATTATAATTTCAACATAATTTCACGTTTTCTTTGTGCTGTTGAGATTTTTGATATAATAGTGTTTGAGAGAAATATGTATTAAGCATGAAAAAAGATGACATAATGTCTTATCCCGTATTAAATTTAGACTAAGCCCACTATCATTATCTCTTTGGTTGACATTTGATAAGATTGGAACCAATAGTTGAGATTTTGAAAACAGAGTTGTGTTAAAACTTAATAGGAAAAATTTTGTTGTCTATGTGATTCTATTCAGTTGGAATTGAACTAGTTGAGTAATCAATAAGCCATAAATAATATGAAAAAAAAAAATCAATAACATTATGAATGAATTTTGATTAGTAATTTTACACTAATATTTGTTTATTGTCACATTATGAAAAAAAAAAGTTTTGTTTCTAAATAATTATTATTGTGGTAATTTCTTTGTTGGTACACGTAATAAAAGTTTTTCCTTTTTGGTGATATACAACAGTAAAACTTTTAATTACGTGGACATTAAAAAAATAGACTGAGTTTAAATAAATATTAAGGGCAAGTCGTTTGCTTGTTCCAACTCAAAACAAAAAAATAACAATGATGTTTACAAAAATAATAATAATAATAAATAACAAATAAATAACAATGAAAGATTGGGAACAAAGTCATATAATCAAAGAAGAGACTTCTTGTAATTTTGAAGTCATGGATTAACTTTTTTCCCTCTTTTCTTTGGTAATTTTGTTTTCTGGGTTAACTTTCAACTTCTATAGAAAGAATGGCCTTACAGTCACAGAAACCCTATCTATTGCGTAGTTAACTATCAGTTAAACGTGACTGCAAGATAGTATTAAGATAACTTAGGCTTAAATGAAATACTAAATATTTCGTGGGGCTAGTAAATTTTTTGTTATTTATAATTATACGAATCAAAAATAAAATTCCAAAGTAAAAATTGACAAGAGAGTAGCACTAGAATGAATAGCTCCGCAAGACATTAAAATAAGAGATGAAGTGTGACTGTTTACCCGTTTATTCTCTGGCTGCCATACATAACATCAAAGTCCTGCTTTTCTTTTCCTTCATCTTCCTTCCTATGCCACCATAACCATAGCCAAAGCCAAACCATCTTCTTTCTTCCCATACACTGGAGCTCCTGGGGATTGGAAGCAACCATAGAATTAGATCTGTTTGAAAATATGCTTCACAATAGTTATGCTCGGACTTTTTATTTCAGTGTACTGCATCCCATGTTCCGTCTCTTAATCAGTTGTCTATTGTGTGAATTTGGTCATTATACTATTATTATTAAAGTAAAGTGTACTTTTGGATCATCAACAAATATCACGACATTCATTTTAATCCTTTAGAATAAAATAAAGTTGACTTGTGATCTATCTGAAATTCAAAATAAACTCATGTTAGTCCTTTTCAGGGACTAACGTGGATCTTCTTTAAATTTCAGATGGACCACGATTTTGATTAATTGAGTCTATTTTGAATTTCAGAAGCACTATAAGTCGATTTTTTTTCCCTAGAAGATTAAAATGGGCCTTATAATATTTGTTGAGGACGGAAAAAATACTTTACTCTTTTTTTTATTCACAGTCGGACTTCAAAAAATTTAGCCAGCCATGTTATATATATGAGGTAGGATCCTTTGACACCAGTGTCAAATTTTAAATTTGACACCTCATCTAAAAACTGTTAGATCAGAAAAGATCAATGATGTCCCATGTTTACAAATCAGAGTCATTGATCTTTTCTGATCTAACGGCTCTTAGATGAGGTGTCAAATTTTAAATTTAACACCGGTGTCAAATGATCCTACCTCTATATATATATATATGGAAAAAATATTTCTACAGCCACTTTAGATAAGATTATCTACAGCTATCCAAAAAACTACGTCGTTTTGATTAATGAAGGGTGTTTCTGTAATTTTAGGTGAATTAATGAAGAGTGTTTCAGTAAAATGTATATGATAAAAAAATAAACAAAAGTTTTAACAAAAGTAAAATGTATATAATAAAAAATATTTCCGTCAAAATTTTCAACGGGACACATTTCTGTCAAAAATATTCAACAGAAAATATTTCCATAAAAAAATTTGACGAAAAATATTTTGATAAAAAAATTTGACGAAAAAAATATTTTGTCAAAATTTTTTATCGAATCTAAATTTCATCGAAAGTTTCGAATTAAACATTTCCCTCAAAATTTTTGACAAAACAATTTTCGTCGAAATTTCTGTCAGAACGTATTTCTATCGAAATTTTGAACCGTCAAAATTTTTGACAGAATTCTTTTTTTGTTTAAAACATTTGATGGAGAAAATCATTTTCGTCAAAACTTTTGACGAAAACTAAATTTTGTCACAAATTTCGATAGAAAATTTATTTTTGTAAACATTTTCATCGGAGAAAAAATTCCGTCTCTTTTTGACGAAAAGTATTCTGACGTAAAAAAAAAATTGTGACAAAATTTTCGTCGTTTGCAACGTAAAAATTTCGTCGAAAATATGATCTTTTTTAGTACTGTGAAAAGTACATAAATAATTTTGTTAGAAATTTTAAATTTAATTTAATTTATAAAAGATAATAATTATATTAATTTAAAAATGGGATAAAATGGTAAAATTATCCCATTAGCACTCTCTTTATCTCCCTTACCATTTTTTTAACTCTCAAACAAGAGAAGGGAATATCCTTCAATTTCCTTCCCTTCCTTCCCCTCTCTCCCCCTTGGATCCTCTTCCTTTCCTTTCTCTCCAAACTCTCAAACAAAGCCTAAATAGTCAAACTTTTGGACATTTTATTAAGTTAAATGTGATGAACCTATTCCATATATAGTAATACAGGAGTATATGTACTTGCCTTTTTATATATTATGCATTTGTTTATGTCACACAAATTGTCACTCGTAGTCCAACTATAGTAATACAGGAGATTGAATAAGGATTCTTGTTAGTGAATGACACATTGGTACCCTAAAACTAACCTAAAACTTGAATTGAAGCATAAAAAGGAATTTGTAAGCAAGGCAGTTATTATGTAGACAATAACCCTCTTCCTAAGTCATAATGTATGATACCATGTAGCCTTATGCATGAGTATGCATGTATAGTGCCTCCAATTCACCCTAATGTTGTGAAGGATGGCCCACATAACTACAAAATCACCCTTCAGCACCTTCGCGTTGTTATGTGAGCGTTGGAATAAGATGCATGTCATGACGTAGAACAATATGCAGGTAGGCACAGTGAGCATGCTCACAAAATACTGAGCAAAATGGCCAGGTTGCACATCAAGCCTCCAAGTCTCGTCGATGATTGCATCCCAATCATAACCATCAATCGGAGCATGGCAGTCTCAGTCATACATGGCTGCGTCTGGTTGCGCATCAAAGTCAAACCCAAGGAGCTTCGTCCATATAAGTGTAGTCATGATAATATCAATTCCACAAACACGGGATGTCAGCTCGCCCAATGAGTAGTGGAGGTTATGGTAGAATGCCCTCACCATAACCTCAGAATAGGGGCACTCCATCTCCGCAAGCACCCTCAGATATGCCTGCTCGAACTGTCTCACTACATCGAAACCCTCAAACCAGAAGAACACTGAATCCAGTGACTTCGTCTCGCATATCCCTAGGTTCATGAAGTCCTTCACGAAGCGATCATTTGTCACCATGTCATTGTCAAATAAATAACCAAACGACATATCTAGAGACTCCTCTACAGCTGGCCTAGAGAATGAAGGCGCATCATGGAAAAACAACAGAATTCGCCAAAGATTAAAACCTAGAGTTCATAAATTTGGCTCCACAGCTCTAATTCATAACAAATTAGACATGTTAATCAACAAAACAACCCAAAAACCAAACAGACAGAGAAAAAATTCAAGGAAAAAAGAGGGATTTCGGATAGGGTTCATAAAAAACCCTAAAAACATACCTAAATGGTATTCCAATCGGTTGAAGAAGGAGAGGATGGTGATGGTGGAAGAAAGACCGATCGATTTTAGTTGTTTAATGAAGATGATTGTACGAAAATTTTTCTCCTATTCAAATGGGTAATCGAGTATGTGAGGTGGGGGAAATGTGTGAAATGAGGGTTTTATAAAAACCCCAGGTCACACAAGTTACTCGAGTACACCACCTTTGTACTCCAGTAAATAATGATAGTGGAAAACTCAGTTCAAGTGAAATACTCGAGTAGACACCTTAATATCGAGTAACTACTGTTTCACGAAAAATACTCAAGTAACAAGCTTCTCTACTCAAGTACATAACTCGGTCAACGGTTAAATAGGGAGAGATGAGTGAAATGTTTTGGTACAAAGGAAAAGTTGTAATATTTATTTTAATTAGGGGGCAAAAGTTCAATCGCCCCAATCCACAAACAAAATCTTTCATATTATTTTATTTCCATCTAAATCGTCTATAATTTTCATTTTAAAATATAAACTTCTCTCACCCCTAAAAAATACTAATACTTTAAAAAAAAACTCGGGAAGAGAAGAGTGATAATATGGTATTCAACTATAAACTTCACAAACACACACAATATTCTATATTTACCTAAAATGCTCACTAAACCTCCATTGTATTCTACCATAACTATGGCCTCACTCAATTTTTATCCTAAACTAATTGGTCAATAATTTATTTTTTAAAAATAAAATAAAATAAAATGAACTAGGTGTATTTTGAACAAAACCCAAAAAGGAAAACAAATTTCAAGTTGTGCTATTCACATAAGCAAAAAGGTATGATTATTTGGCATCACTGCTCTCTGCCAGTTATGTTTCTTTCCCTAACATGATGGAACTTTTCGGGGAAAGGATTGTAAATAAAGTCATAGTTTCGTCACTAAAGCCTTTTTAACTGAACCCCACACAATTAAACAAATTTGAGTTGTGTTGTTAAAGACAAGTAAAAGACTATGATCATTTGACATCAATATTATCTGGCAGCTACAACTTTTTCTCTAATATGTTGAATTCTTATTAGATAATGAAAGGAAAATCAAATATCAATGCGGTCCCTAGAGCATTTTCCTCCATAAAAACAGAACGACCATAAACCAAGAAGGATATTTCATCAACAAGAGCTTCCATATTACCTCATTCTCGTCCAAATCATTGTTTTCTGAGTCTCATTTAAAGATAAAAATATCCGCTATAGGAAAAAAAAACTCTTAAGAAAAAACTAAAGAAAAGAGTGCTAATGCAGTATTCAATTTAAAGGGAAAAATATTTCTGCAATTACTGCAGATAAGTTATCTGCATTTATTTTCAAAATGATGTCATTTTGGTATTGAAATTTTAAAAAATTATAAATATAAAGACCATTATAACCCTGAAATAAATTAAAATTATAAAAACACCATGATTTTCGTCCCAAAACAACGTTGTATTGGACTTACTGCAGATAAATTAACTGTAGTAACGACAAAAAAAGCGAACCGCAATTTAAAATGTCACAAAACAAACACGATTTTTCACATATATCCCTAAACACTCATCAACCCTCAGTTGTGCTCTGTCGTAATTTTGGCCCTACTCAATTCATGTCTTCTACTAGTTTGTTTATATATCACTTTTCTTTTAATTTTAAAATATGATTAATGCTCGAAGGAACAATAAGGACTAATGCTCGAAGATTGAACTTAGGGAGCGTTTGGTAGAAGAAAAAAAAAATTTATCTGAAAATTTTAATTTTTAAAAATATAATTTTTATATTCAGTTTATGATAATATCTAAAAATTTAAAATTTTAAAAAAAATAATTTTCTATAAATCCTCCAAAAAGGCATATACCAAACGGCCCCTTAAATAGAGGCAAATTTATGCCACACTACTTTTATCTCAAGTCAAAATATGATTTAAGACAAAGGTGTATATGAATTTAGCACGGCGAATATCCCTTTAACCCTTCATCAACTTCAACATTTTTTTTTTTTTTGTACAAGTAAGGAAAATAAACAACCAAAGAAAACAAACTACCTACTACCTTGGGCACAGCTCGCCCTACAATCTTCCAACAAAAGATCTAAACAACCCTCAGGGGGTTCACTAAGCCAAACAATACTCCAGTCCACCTGCGAAGCCTGGCGAGCTAGCCAATCCGCCACTCTATTGCATTCTCTATTCACATGATCAACCCTCACCATCCAACTCTTCTCCAGCATCTCTCTTATCCTAAGCATGAGCAGATGGCAAGGGTGCGAATCCACACATCCTTGAGTAATCAACTCACATGCATCCATGGAATCTGTTTCCACCATCACTCGTTGGTAGCCTTTTACCCAAGTCCATTCCAAGCCAATTAATATACCCCTTAGCTCAGCCATCAGAATATTACCACACCCAAGTCCTTTTGAAAAACCAGCAATCCAATCCCCATTACAGCTTCGGATGACACCACCACAGCTGAGACGTGTTCCTTTTACGGAGCAAGCTCCATCCGAATTAAGCTTTATCCAGGTAGTTGGAGGTGCTTCCCAATGGGGCTTCCTCACACTCCTACTGTCAACCATCAAACCAGCTTTACAGAACATTTTTTCAGCCACTGATACATTCTGCATAAACATCATAGCATGTCTCACAATTTCTATAGGAGTTTCCCATTCATCATTAAAAACTCCATTGTTTCTTCCCTTCCATATCAGCTTCATCAACTTCAACATTGCCACAACAAAAGAAAAAATTCCACCATAAATAAAATAAAAAAACCTAAAGAACAATATTATGAATAAGAGTTTCCAATTATTTCAATCTCATCCAAAATAGCAGTGTTGTAAAACCCGGCCCGATCCGACCGGGTCGACCCGAGATCTGGCGACCCGGGCATCAGACCGGTTCGGGTCAAGCATTGGACCGCTTATGCATCGACCCGGTCAAAACAGGTGACCCGGTGACCCAGTGACCTGGACGGGTCATGCATTTAAAAAAAAAATAAACAAAATTGTTTCATCTTGTGAGAAAAAATGTAGAACTCATTTTATTTTATTTTTGTAATTTTATTTGCTAATATACTTTTCTACAATGACCTCCAATTTTAACTTTTAATATTGAAACAATTTGCGAAATAATAAATTAATAGATTATAACATATGTCATTTTTTTTGGGTAAAAATGACATATTTCGTTTTTAATGTAGTTGAATTTGAAAAATATGAGTTCAATGTCATTGAGATGTATGTTTATAGGGATTCTGAGTTGCAATTTAAATTGAAATAGAAATAGTATACATTTTTATTTATTTATGCTTCATGGTTTTGAGCTTATTTAATTCATTTTAGATATAGAGAATATAATTGAATTTACATGTTCATATTTATATATCTATATATATCCGAGTCAACCAGTCCGATCAATGACCCAATGACCCAGTACTCTAACCGGATCGATGACCGGACCGGGTTTAATAACATTGCAAAATAGTTTGGTAGTCTAGTTTTACGCTACAACCTCCCCCACCAAAATAAATAGAAACTTCAAAAAAAAAAGTGCTATTCGATTTAAAACATCAGAGACAAAAACCATGATCCACATTTATCCCTAAACACTCACCAAAATTCTGCTGGACTCCACCGTAATTTGTGCCTCACTCGATCCCTATCTCATAATTCGGACCCACTTATCTCTCTTTCTCGATTCATTTTCCGGCCACCACACCCTTTCCTTCCGGCGAAACATTCTCACGAACTTCACTTCACTCTTTGCACAAAAAAACCTTTTCAACTCTTCGCCTTTGGGGTTCAGCCCCCTGATTCAACGACGCCGTTCATCGGCTTTGCAAATTAGGGCTCCGCGCCTTCCGATTTCACTGCCACGGAATAGGGTTTTGGGTTTCGGCGATGCCGCGGAGTTCGAAGCAGAAATCGAGCAAGCACGGTTCGAGAGACGCGAGGGAGCACTCGGACTCCGAGAGGGATTCCGGTTTGAAGGATCACCGGAAGGGGAAGGACGAGAGTGTTGCTACCAAGGCTTTGAAGGATTCTGGTTCGAGCGAGAAGCGGAAGGTCGATTCGAAGGACGGGACCGGAAACGGGGAACATTCCGATGAGTACTACGGCACATCGAAGCGGCGCAAGGAGCGGAGCGGTGACGGTGGAGGAGAGAAGCGGAATGGCGACAAGGACGAGCGAGCGAGGGGCGACGGCAAGCAGCACAGGGATTCGGGTCGGAAGGAAAGTAGAGAAGGTGCGGCGAAGGTTAAGGAAGGTAGGAACGAGAGATCGGTTGATAATGAAGATCTGAGAATATCAAAGCAAGGTTATGAAAATACTGGTAAGGTAACTGATTGACTTGTGGCATGTATATTCACGCGTGTGCTATGCTTAAATTTGTAGTGTAATCGTTTTTTGAACCTCAAATATTGAGAATAAGGGTGAGTGATTAGAGTATAGATTTGAAGCCTGAATCATTTTGTGACCACTTACTGTAATGCCTTAATGACAGCTTCACTCTGAATATCTAATACCACTTTTCAGTTTCGTATGATTTGATTGGATTCCAAATTAGTTGCTCTGCTGTGGTGGTAGTTTACTATTTTGCTTCTTCTTTTTTTCCGCTGTGCAAATGTTTCCATTAAGTGATGTATTTGTTTTCGGTTATCTCCATTTCTCTGGTTCATTAGAATGAATAGGCACACTTTATGACTAATGGGATCTCTCCTTTCTCCCAATTTGTGTAAAAGTTGTTTTGCCAATTTCATGTCTGGTGACATTCTGGAAAAACGTGTCTAAGGGTATCAAGCTCTTTTTAGGTTGTAGGTTTTTCTCGATGCTTTTCTACTTCCATCCTTTCAATTGATTCCAATTTACCTGCTTCCCCCGGAGGTGAAGTCATTTTACCAATCTCTCTCCCTTCTCTGCTGCATAGAATTATTTATGTTTGATTATACCTTTAAACTGTTAGGCTGCCCGAGACTCATATATGGAGCAGATTGTGCCCTTGCAATTTTGAAGTCTTTGAAAGTACCTTTTTCTTACTAATTAATCTGTTGCAACCCCAAGAATCAATGAGATCTATCACATCAATGCTTTGCTCCCAACGTCCCAACCCTTAGCTTCAGTTGAGGTGGTTGCCTTATGAAGTTATTTTAGCTCTGGGAATGTTATTGTTAGGTCATGAGGGGGAGTACAGGACAATGGAGACTTCCAGTGATGGGTTAAGTAGGAAACACACATTGACACACCACAAAAAGAGGCCCAATATTAGTATGCTCCCCCTCAAGCGGAAGGTATTAATGGATTTACCAACCAAAGATGCTCAAGTCTTGACTCCACAATATGAGTTTGTCAAGCACAAACCCAAACACCAACCACTATATCCAAATATTTTGCCTAGCCAAACCATTCACTTTGATACCACTAATTAGGTCATTAAAGGAAGCCCAAAACACGGGAGACCTCCATCAATGAGCTAAGCAGGAAACTCAAACCACAATAAATAGACCTGAGACCACATCTTAACCCAAAACTTTATGGCTTTAATTTTATGGGTTTTTCTACTTATATGGTCCTTACTTAGTCTATTTTTAACCAATTCGAAACTTCATTATTCATCACTCACACTTGAATTTGTAACAATTAAGTTAGTGATTCATATCATTTTGGTTTCATTTTTATTTTTGGGTTATATTGCTTTTTGAATCAGATGTGATCTGGGGAAAAAAGACTAAGGTCCATAGTATTTGGATATGAATATTGAATGCACCTATGAATTGCATGTATAAGCGAAATTCACCTTATAAATAGATGTGAAGTAGATATATGTAATAAGTAATTGAATTTTAAACTTGTTTGAGCAAATTAGCATTGTGGAATCTTTTACTCAAAAATTAGTAGAGGTAAATTTCTTTCTATTTTCATTGTTGTTTTATTGTGTTATGATCCAATTGCAAGGTGCGAGACTTGGAGTTCCACATTGGAACTAGGTTGTCAGTAGCGGCCCGTAGCGCCGCTAAACCGCTACCGTAGCGGGTAGCGGCAGTCGGCCGCTACAAACCGCGACGCTACGCGACATTGGCCGTAGCGGAAGGTAGCGGCGTAGCGTAGCAGCAATACCTCTACCCGCTACACCACTCCCACGTTGGAATTTGATGGAGAATCCGGAGATGATGATGATTTTCTTTATTAGTTCACTTCTTGTACTTAACTATTTGACAATTTTATTGTTCAATTGTGTTTAATTTTGGATCCTTCCTTTATGTTCCTTGTATTTGACATTGATTGTGGAATTATGTGTTTGATTTTGTGTGACTTCTTATGTTTGAGCATTAATACTAAAAACGGTATTGCCTCGTTTCTTGACTGTTAGTATAATATATGTGGAATTAATACTTCACCGTAGCGGTAATACCGCTACCCGCTACACCGCTATACCATTTTCGGGGTCGACCGCTAACTGCTATTGACAACTAAGCATTGGAAACATAAGGTTTTGGTGTGGGGTTTATATGAACTTTGGGCGATCCTACCTTACTTGCTAGCTTTTGGGGTGAGGCTCTCTCAAGGTTTGTATCAATTGATATTAGAGCATCCTATGTCTCCTAGTTGCAATCAAGTGGCGCGATTGGTGACGCTGACATTGCAGTGTTCGCCTAGGGCTAGTAAAAGACTAGCACAAAGCCAGCCCGCTTGGGCGCCAAGGCTGCGGAGCGTGGTGGGATGTTACGATCCAATTGCAAGGTATGGGACGTGGAGTCCCATATCCAAAACATAAGGTTCTGTTGTGGGTTTATATGGACTTTGGGCTCTTCTACCTTACAAGCTAGTTTTTGGGGTGAAGCTCTCCCAAGGTTCGTTTCATATTGACAATCGAATTATCTTTTTTTTTTTAAAAAAAAAGAACTTCGAAGGAATATTGTTTTAAAATTTTTGGATATAACCTTTCACTATATATTATAGAGTTCAAGAATTGCATCACACTTTGCTATTCCAAGCATAACTTATGTAGTTCTTGACTTGCATTGTTGCTGTAGTATAGACAGGCCTGGGAAAACTTTATTCTATATTGTTTTTGTATTTCAAGTTTTTAACATTGACTAATCATTTTATTTCAAGAGACTATTTGGTTTTTATCTCAGGGGGTTGATTGAAGCATATCTTAATTATGAGTCATGTAAAGTTTTTAATTTGAAAATTAGCAGTTTGATTATATTTTGACTTATATGTTATAGAAGAGATAGGATGCTCATCCTTTTCCATTATATCTTTTCTTTTTTCTTCTGTTGCTTTTCTCCATGCATATATTTATTATTTTGGAACTGTCTCTAGTACCTTAGTGCATTTGGCGTGCTATGAATGGAAGATAAAACGGAAAATCTATCATTTTACTCAGACTATTTATATGGGTAGTAAATCATTTTGCATTTAATAATGTTACTCTAGTTTGGGAAGAGAAAATCCTTCTTTTTTGAGAACAACATAAACTCTAACATGTTTAATATTGTTAGTAGCTCCTTAGATTATGTATGTAAAACACTTATTCTAGAGTTTCAAGTCATTGGTTGCATATTGATGAAATGGATGCTGCCTATCAAGCTGACCATTAATTAAATAATTTCATAGTAGTGCAAATGAACCTATAAAAAATAAAGCCCTCTTTTACAGTGAGAAATTTAAATTATATACCAAGATATGTGTGTGTTTGTGTATAAAGCCCAGTCCAGTGCACAAGGCTTCCACCATTGTGTGGTTTGGAGAGTAAATGTACACAGCCTTACCCTGATAAGCAGCAAGGTTGTTCCTGCGATTTGAACCTGTGACTACCCGGGTTATCTTATCAGTGTGCAAAGGTTCAACCTCATACGCGCACTCATTGTTCGGATCCATGTGTGGAGAGCTTGCATTAATGGCATGGCTTATTTTATACTTCACATGAATGGGCAATTAGAAGTGGTTTAGAATCAGTCACATGTAAATAGTGGTGTGCTTCAATGAGGGATGGATTGGTTCATTTAATTTAGGGCTAATTTTTTTGGTATTTACACAAATTCTTATCTAGCAGCGCTATCGCACGCTATAACACATTAGTAGCAGGTAGCGGCACCCAACCACAACAATGCGCATGCAATGCTACTGTTTACGGTAGCGGCCGTAGTGGCTGCTTTCTCAAGTTGCGGATCGCAGCAGTAGCGATGCGATATTAGGGCTTCAATGAAGGAGATGAAGTTTTTAGGGCTTCAATGAAGGAGATGCAGTTTAAGGGCAAAATAGTCTAACCATTTAATTTTAAGGGTAAAATAGACTAACTTTTAAATATTGAGGATCTAATAGACTTTTAGTTTTTCATATTATGAAACCCTATCCCCATGTCGACACTTTCCTTCTAAATTTCTATCTCCAGCAGCCGTCTCCATTTCAGTCTCTCTTTCTCATTTTCCAGAAGCTCTCTCTCACCCAATTTCCGGCAAGCTTTCGGCACAATCTCTTTGACTATGGGACGATTTCGATTCCTCCCTGATTCTGTTTTCATATCCAGTGGGAAGCAAAGAAAGATCTCCTCTCAGATTGTTTCAATATCCAGTGAAGATAAGGAATATTTCGGTATCTCTTTCTCTCACTCATTTTGCAGCAAGCCAAGGCCAAAAAACATCTGATATTCTGACTTAATTTCGATCTACATTCTCTAATGGGTATTATGTTAGTTAAATTTTGTGAAAAAGTTAAATTAATAATTAATATATTTTATTTTATATTGAAAATTATATATTTTATATTACATAATTATTTTAATTTAAAGTGATAATGTGTTAATTATTATGTATAGATTATAGATAATAATATTTTTTAAGGTAATTATACTTATCTCATTCAAGTTAGTGTTTATTATACCCAATTTGAATGGACTTCATTGTAGCGGCTATACCACTACCTAGAATACCGCTATAGCATTTTTGGGGTTGACCGCTACCAGCCGCTACTCGCAATTAATAACTATGTTCTTGTCATGAAATTATTGGTTTGGTTGATGGGGTAGGCCTCAATGATGGTTGTTGAGTCAATAAACATGATTTTATATGTGATTTTGAGCGTTGAAATTATTTTCCAAGATTATATGGATGGGAACAATAATGAGGCAGGATGCTACGCATACACGAGGTTCTTTAGCCCCATTTTCTTCTCTCGTCAGATCTCTGAGTTTTTTTAATACGCGTCCACTGTTGGAGGGATCATTATATTATATCATTCTGTAATTTTTCTATTGCACATTTGGTGGTTTTGGCTCATATTTTTTGTTGGATTTGAATTGATCTCTGGTTTGAGTGGGTCTTTAACTATATTAGAAAAGGTAATTTGGCCTGGTTTAAACCTTGGGACTACAGTGTGGTTTTTTTTTCCTGTATGTTGAGAATTTGGTGTTTGGTTTGTGTATGGGTAATAATTTTCTTTTTCATATGTTGTAATTTGTGTTTGCACATGTTTGATTCTATGGATGTTGTTTTATTACCATGCTTTTGTCATATGTATTTTGTAAGAGTTAATCACCCTGATGTTGTAAGGAGGGCAAAACATTAGTCTGTTAATGTGGTTATTTGTTGTATTTGGTTGAAGCAGAATGCTCACAAATTTAAGGATACTGTATTATTATCCTTACATCTGTTATGAAATATTCCTGTTGGATATGCAGTGAGAGTGCAGAGCTTTATTCCCTAATTGAGCTTGTTTGATTGTGCTGTATTCTTGTTTAGTTTGTTCGGCAGTACTCCTTTCTAGTCCTCAATCAAACAACTTCTTTCTATCCTATTTACCTACTATGCATGTAGAATGAATATGTTCTGCTGATTTTGGAAATTCTTTTTCTTCCTTTCTCAGAAGCAGGTGTTAGTGATTTAGGATAAAATGCTTGATGCATGCAAAATGCCAATCTTTATTGTATTGATATATTAAGGTCTGAGTAGATTTTCTTTTCAATATTTATATTATGAAAGTCTGTAGCTTCCGAAGATGTTATTAATTCCTGTGGGCCCTTTCAAGAAAAATTTATGATGTATTATTTACTTTTAGCCTTTGACTCAACTTGTTCTTTCTAACAATCTATCATTCTAGTCATTGTGTCATATTGTTTTTTAATCGTTGTTTTGTCCTGCAATCTCATTGTGTTCTTTGAAAGTGTGGTCAGCAAATATTCTGTTATTATTTAAGAGTTTATCAAAACAACTCATATCCTCTTTTTTTATTCAGCTAAAATGAATTTCATGCTGGTATAAATCTGGCAATATTGTGCAAGCTGTGGTAGAGTTTGCAATCAATGTCTAATTGATGTGCTGACAATTAATGTTGTTTTGTTAATAACATGCCGCGAAATGTCCCATGTTCACCACTTTCATGGTTGAAGATAAATTGACTTTTGATGTGTGTGCTGTAATATTTTGGTCCTCAATTCCTCATGTATTCTTTCTCGTGATGCACATTATTTCTTACGGGCTTTTGATTATAGACATGTGATGTTCTCTACTTTTTTGCCTGGAAGACAGTTATTGACTTTGACCTATATCTTATTGCAGATTTGAGGAAAGTGGATGAATTGCGAAGCACTGAACTTGATAACCAGCTTGAGAGGCGAATGCGGAAGAAGAGGGACTCTGGTGACAGCGATAAGCATCAAGATAATGTTGGAGATAGTTATGATAGACATTTGTCTTTGAGGGATGAGAATGCCAAGGGTGGAAGGCAGAAGGATGGGAAAAGAAAGGATGAGAAATATAGAGACAAGCATAGGGAAGAGACAGACAGGGAGAGCAAACGTCGACATGACAAGCAACGAAATGAGCATCCTGCAAAAGATCATACTAGCGTTAAGTCTGATGATAAACATGAAAGGGAAGAAAGGCATAGTTTAGAATTAAGACAAAAAAGAACCAAGCTTCCAGAGGGTGACCATGAGCAAGACCATAACCGTGAACGAGACCGTGATTTGGAATCTGGTCGTGACCGGGAGCAGCCCAATGAACGTGTTCATGAACGTGATTATGATCTTGATAGGGATCGTGATTATGACAGAGATCGAGATTGGTACTGGGATCGAGATCATGACCGTGACCGTGATCGTAATCATGATCGTGACCGCCACCGTCACCGTGATCGTGATGGGTCACGTGTGGATGATCGAAGTGCCAAAGGCAAAGATAGTGGGGCAAAGAAAAGAACTTTGAATGACCATGATGATTATATTGATGCTAAATCTAGAGTTACTAAAGGCCAATATCCTGATGGAGAGAAGAGAAGCTTGAGCAGCGGTAAAGCTGATTCTGATGTTGACAAGGGAAGATCCCAACCACGGCAAGCTTTTGCAGATTCAACTGGGACGGTCAAAAGACACAGATCTTCTCCTACATCAAATACACATATTGGCAAAGATGAATATAGGTACCTTTTAGTTTTCTTGGGAGTTTGATTGGAACATTGTAAGTTAATTTTTAGAGTCTTTATGCATAATTCCCTCTATGTGCTTACCATGTGATTATAGAGATGTTAAATTTGTGAACTTCTCAGTTTCATTAATTTATCAGGGTTTTGCTGCTTTTCAGTAGTGTTGCTATCATTTCAAATGAACAGTTTTCTTTAGGAATTTTCTCTGAGGAAGTTTAAAGATTAATGCATCCTAAATCATTTATGATTACTGACATCATCTGTATAGATTACAATTTCAACATCTTATATTTTGTTAAAAAAATAATTTTGCACAATTCTTTGAATAGATGAGAGGTGTTTGTAGATAATGATAAGCAGTCTTTTGCTTTGCCAACTGGGGAAATAATTAACCCGTGTTTGTTGACAACAGTTGTGATGTTGTTTTCTTGATTTTAAATTTATAATCTGGTTATTGGGTTCAGCTTTTGCCTTTTCCCTTGGGAAGCTTATGTGTATGAGAGTTATACCATGGACGATTATAACTGGATGCCATTTTCCCCATGTTTCAGGAATGCAAATTCTGATGATCCAATGTATAGAGAATCAATGATAGAACAGAGAACCAGAGGCTCACGAGAGGGGTTTTCTGGAATATTAGAGAGAGGCCCTAAATACAAATCAATGGAAAAACCCTTCAAAATAGATGATGGTCCTGTAGGGGATTTGTCAACAGAAAGGTCTTCCAGTGCTAAGGCTGCTCCCAAGGGCCAGATGGAAAGATCTCCTTCCATAAGCATTGAACGCAGGTACATGAATAAAAGTGGTGTTAGGCAGAGCCTTGAAATTGAAGAAAGGGGAAGGAGGAACAGTGTTGAGGGTAGAGATTTCTCTACTTCTGACGGAAGACTTGGCCGGGAGTTGACTCAAGAGAAACCACCATTGGACGAGCCCCCTCAAGCAGAATCATCGTTTTATGGTAGGGGTAGTCAAGGCAATGCTTCAGTAATTCCTCCACCACCAGCTTTCAGGGCTGCACTAGACAGACCATTTATGGGTTCTTCAGAGGATGATGTTAGAGATAACTCCAATACTCGATACAGAAGAAGTAGTGATCCTGGTTTTGGAAGAGGGCATGGAAATTCTTGGAGGGCTGTTCCAAACTGGACTTCACCAGTGCCTAATGGATTTGTTCCTTTCCAACATGGGCCAGCACATGGAGGTTTTCAAACAATGATGCCTCAGTTTACATCTCAACCTCTCTTTGGTGTTAGGCCTTCAATGGAAGTTAACCATGCTGGTATTCCTTATCATATTGGTGATGTTGATAGGTTTCCAGGTCACTTGCGCCCACTTGGGTGGCAAAATGTGATGGATGGTGCAGGCCCTGCTCATTTGCGTGGATGGGAAAGTAGTAACGGTGTCTTCAGAGATGATCCTCACATGTATGGTGGTTCTGATTGGGACCGGAACAGGCATTCAATAAATAGTCGTGGATGGGAATCTGGTTCAGAGACTTGGAAAGAACAGAATGGTGATTCTGAGGACTTGCCTTCCCTAGCTGGCAAAGATGAATCAGTTCCTGTGCGGGTGGATGATGGTTTGACTGATCAGTCTATTCAGGTGTCTCGAGATGATGAACACAGCCGGGATGAATTTCATGAGAAATCTCCTAAAACAAAATCGTCCAGTGTATCTCCAGCAAAAGTAGCTTTGAACTCTTTGTCTACAACTGCATGCAAAAAGGGGCTTGATTCTTCGACACCAAGTGACTATCCTGCTCTTTTCAGCCAGTTTTACCTTTCCAAACTCGACATTTCAGCAGACCTAGTAATTCCAGAGTTATATGACCAGTGTATGTGTTTGGTAAATGTTGATAAGAATACATCCAATGATGCAGATGTTAGTGCAAAACTATTCCAGAAGGTATTGAATTTTGAAAACTTTTTTGCTTCCTTTTGCAGTTCCAAAATTCATATAGCTTATATAGTGGAATTGAGTTCTGTAATTATTGACACCAATTGTAACTTCGACTGATTAATTAAGGGAATTTTTAAACTAACCTCTTGAGAAGTGATTTTAACTTCATTAAGTCAACTGGTGTATTTACTCAAATTAGAACTGCACTTTTTGACTTCTTTTTTTGATTAAATTCAATAAATGACCTTTGATTGTTTTCCACTGTCGTGATTTAACAGAATGGCTCAAGAGCACGAAAGATATATGCTGCCACTTTTTCAAGGCATTCACCTTTGCCCGCAATTGATGATTCCCTCTTCCAGGTAAAACTACTTGAGTTATAACTTTGATACAGTGATTTCCTGTAGGTGAGTACTACTTGTTTTACCTTTAGACTTCAAATGATATGATCATTCTTTTTTGGTTATAGAAATTTGTATTGTCTTCTTGAATTTTAATTTCCTGGATTCACATTTGACTTAAGTCGGTGAGTCTTTGTACACTGGGGTTTGCCCTTGTTTACATTTGACATTTTAGTCCGATGAATTCATAAATACTAGATTCTGGAATCTTGATGAGTGAAAATTTTCTTCAATTTGCAGAGAGCCATAGATCTTTACAAGCAGCAGAGAACGGAACTGCTTAGTGATGGGAAAGTAGATATTATTTCAGCATCCAATCAGGTGCTAGTGGATGAATCAGTTCCTCTTCCCAGCTTGGTGAGTGAGCAGATTTCTGCCTCAGCTTTGGATGAAATGGACAATGTGCCAATGCCTACATTTGAACATAAGAAAATGGAAGCTCTCTCTCCTGCTAAGGAGAATTTGGAAGAGATTGATCAAACCTGCAGTCAAAAGGAGCTGGATCATGATTGTAACCATTCTTCGAAGCTAGTCATTTCTAGTCCATCTTGTGGTCACGAGAAGCAAAGAGAGCCTGTAGCAGGTTTGTGTGAGAAAGAGGACAAAGTCATTTCTGATATGGTGAATTCGGGGAATGCAGAGGAGAAAAGCCCCATGGCATTCAAAAATGAACTTCAGTTATCTCCAACATTGCACGATGATGGTGATAACATGAATAACAAAGCTAAAAGTACTGGTTTTGCCCATCGTGCAGATGAAAAGCGGGGTTTCGATGACACAATGATTAGACCCTTAATTTTTGAGGATGGTTCTCCCAGAGCTTGTGATGCTTTGATGCCTGGGTCAAATGAGTCTGAGTCGCTAATTTTAAGCCGGATACATCATTCTCCTGAAAGTACACATTGAGACAATTTCTTTATCTTTCATTGCTTTTATCTATTAGGTTTTTATTTCCTCCCCCATTTCTGTTCCTTTCATTTTAAGCGAGGAAATAAAAGCAAATGGCATTCATGTTCCCTTAGAATAGGGTTTTTTAGACCATCCATCCATTCCTGCATGTCTCATACGTTGCATTTCTGCATGAGCATGTCGCAGCAGCACTGAGCATCTCAGTGAAGTTGCACTGCCCATCTGCATGAATGGGATGGGGTATAATACGACTCGTAAGTTTCAGTTGGTTTCCATAAAAGCTTTACGAAATAAATTATAAGCTATTGGTTGTTGCTTTTTCACCTCTCGTTCTTTTCTTCTCTTCTTTCGAAAAAAAAAAAGGAGGGGGGGGGGGGGGGGGGGGGGGGGGGGGGAGGATTTTTTGTGGACTTGGACCATGGTAGTCCTTTCCCAAAATAGAAAAAAGGAAGAATTGAAGAGGAAAAAATCAAAAAGATAAGGATAGAAATGAAAAAACAAATTTCATTTATGATAAAGGGACACTGAAGCATATTAAATTTTTCTGGGGCAGGGGTGGGGTTTACTATTCCTGCCTTCTCTGCTCTTGTTTCATGTGTGCGCATTCGTAGCTCGATCTTTTCTGAATTTATTCAAACCACATATTTCTTTTTGTGTTGTGTTTTTTTTTTCCTGTTTCGTACTACTATTTTTTTTTAAGGGGTTGGGTGGGCTGTGTTAAGTTCTTAGCTGGCATGGCGTAATTCTTGAGCTGTTTTAATACTTTACATTTGTATGTGCAACAGTGTCCTCATAATTACAAATGATAGGTATGAAGAAACAAAATCAATGAAAAAGATCGTTTACCTGTATCTAACCAGGTAAACTGGTAAAAAGTTTAAGAGGTAGGTTATTTTTTTTATTTTTTTTGGAGTTACCTAACCCTAACTACTTCTTTGAGGCGAGTTGGCTCCCTCCGGTATCCCCACAAGTTTCGACTCTTTGAGCTGGCTATGGGACTAATCCGGAGTGCGGGGGTCAGTGATGGCTAAAGGTTCAGCCCCCTCCCCAAGAATGCATTCAGCGGGAATCAAACACATGTCTAACTCCACTAACTCAGCGCCAAGGAACCAACTGAGCTGCACCCATTGGGTGAGGTAAGTTATTTTTATTATTAATTTTTTGTACTAATTTTTTTTACTATTATTTTATTATCATTTTAGAAGAAAAGTTAAATGAAGAGAGAGAAAAGAAAAATAATTTTTGAATTCAATAGTGATTAGAATGATAATAAAGTAATAGCAAAAAAAAAAATGAATAATAAGAATATTCTAACTTAAAGTTTATTACTGCAAAACAGTTCCTGAAAGTAAATCGTGTGCGCAAAACTATTTTCAATAAGCTTCCTCTCTGCAAATTGTTCGTAAGCTCTTCCTGCGATTTTACTTTTACTCTATAGACAGATTTTATGAAGTTCATCCAGCATTCGGAGACGAACTCTATGGTGACCTTGTTTGACTAAATTTCTTAAGAGTTCAAAATGGATCGAATTTGACGGGTTAATTTAAATAATTTGACAAAGTGTGCGGGTTAGGTTAATAAAATTAAAGCAAATGATAATTTTGACTTGACTTGGTCCAGCATGTTGTGGGCTTGTTAATAGTGGGTTGGGTTGGGTTGGTTCATAAGTTTAAATTACTAAAAATATTAATCTTTTTAAGTTTACTTTAAAATATAATTTAAAACAAAAGTTTGATTATTTTAAGGAATAATTAACTTAAATTCTTTAATGTAAGTTAGTTAATAAATTATTTAAAATCAACACTTGTGAATTCTAAATAAATAAATAAATAAAAAATATAAGTCAATAGCCAAGTTTGAATAACCTGCATTTGACATTAGAATGAGGTTAGACGATTTGCGAATTATTCTTGAGGCCCAATACGAGTAATCCTAATTTTGGCCCAAATTGTAGGGACTGGCCCGGCCTGAAGTGATGCACTAATTTTGGCTCCATGACCTTCGATTTTGCCGACGAGGAGGCCATGTTCTGACAAAGACGCCGAACTTTTCAATGAAGAATTATATATATTGTTCTGTTTTTTTTTTTTTTTTTTTTTTTTTTTTGTAAATAAAGATATTGTTCTGTTTTTGTTATCACACAATGTAATATCAAATGCAACTGCATGTGTCAACACATAATATAACTACGGGGAATATTTTTACTACCAAAAGTGTCCACTACCACTTTATTACCTATCAAATCACCATTGGATCAAGGAGAGGGAATGTTAAAAAATTTTGAAGAGAGAAAAAATGTTAATCCAATGGTGATTAGATAGGTAGTAAGGTGATAGTAGAAACTTTTGGTAGTCAAAATATCCTCTCTCTAATATAATATCCTTCGGTTAGTGTAGGCTTTATTAATCTTATGTAATAGGAGAGAGTTCTCTCATGCTATAGATACAATCATGTGTGAGACCCACCCACTTATAGAAAAAAAAATAAAAAATAAAAAAGTAACACGAAAATTGATGTATGTGTAGGAAATAAAAACACTCTCCTACAACATAAGAGTATATTTTGTCGTTAGTGTATCATTAGAGAATAAAAGTATGGTATGTTTACGTTATTCTTTTAAATATCTGTTTTTATTTTTATTTTTTATAATTCATTGCAAAAGTCTACTTGAATTAATTATCAATTAAATTTTTTAAAGGTCAAAATTAAAAAAAAAAAAAAAACATTCAAATGCAGAAACATATAAAAAAAAGTTAGAATTTTTTTTTTTAAATGGGTTTAGTGTGTGTTTGTGTTCTTTTAGTGACTTACGCATAATATGATCGGTCACATTCTGTGTAATTCTGAAAAGTTTTTTTTTTTACTTTACACATCAGCGAGCGATGTGACTAAAGAGAAAAAAGAAAAAGTAATCTTTCATATTTACAGAAAGTATAACCGATTATATGTAAACCAGGAGAACTTGTGTGATAGTCTTTTTTATGTTTAAAAATAGGGGAAAATGTTTATCCTTTTAAATGACACAACTTATATTCTTTCACTCTCACAAAGAGGTGGGATCAACACCTTTATTTTTTTTTTCAACTATCTCCTTCTTTATCTATCTCTTTCTCTCTCTTAAAATTATATATCTTTAATCTTTAAAATGACACATTTTCGCTATGAATGAGTCCATTATATGAATGACACATTTTCCTTAAAAATATATCTGAATGAGTCCATTATATGTAGTGCAATACGCATCGTTAATTCGTTATGAACAATTTTCAACTCCACATCTCCATCTATACACACCTTCCAACTTTCCTCTTCGATGCCTTTGCTTCTCGATTGAGTCAGTTGCGGTGGTTTTCAGCAAAATGCGTTAGATTTTCCGTTGCTTTGGTTTCTCCATTGAATATCTCACTGTCAAAGGAACTTTTTGAGGTCATTTTCTGTAATATTCCGTCCATTTTGTTGTCTTTTCATTGATCCAAATAACTTCTATTTATTTGTGTTCTTCTTCTTATTCCCTTTTCAAACTAAAAGAAGAAAAAGTGGGGTTGTCGCTTTCTATTGGAAAGTAACTAGATTTGCCGTTATTAAGAATTGCAAATTGAAGGGTTTTAACCAGAACGAAACACTAGTGTTTTTGGAATACCATTTAGCTATGATAAGTTTAGGAAATCATATTTGCAAGAATTGGCAACTAGATGAGAGAAAGTGAATGTACAGCTTCTATTGTGGTTTAGGTTGAGTTTCTTGGATGGTGCCTCAATTAGTTGTTGGCATGTTAGACTTTTTAAGGGAAAGATTAGTAGCATTTTATAAGCCTTATCTGCTCCATTTGGAAAGGAAGGAAGAACAATAAGCATGCTTATGATTAACCACCACCACCCAAGGCCCCAACAATAAAAATGTATACTATGGTATTGAATTTAAAAGTTACATGTATGCTTAGGTTAATTTATTTTATATAACTAAACTATCAAATTTCTTCCTTTTTTATACTTCATTAGACATTGATAATTTTTGCTCTATCTGATTTCTATAGCACCAACTGTGAGCCAAGAAGCCCTCTTCTTACATATAATGTGGAAAAACATCAGTCAATCTTTATCAGGAGCTAATGAAGAGCAAGGCGAGAGCTTGTTGGGTGAGGAGTCTGGTGGTCTCTGCTCTTTGTCTACAACGCAGGTGCTGGCAAAACTTTTCATGCAAATCTTGATGTTTGGGATTTATTGTAATGTGGCAGCTCTAATTTATGCCAGTTTCGGTTTGTTGACTAAGCAGAGAATTTATGGATTTGCTGCTTGTTTGATTGCTGGTCTGGCTTGCATGTTACTGGTGAGAGAAATTTGTGTCCTCATTTTATACGTATGTGTTATTGTGTTTTACTAGCATTGTTGTTTTTAGATTTTAAGTAGTAGAAATTTTAGGAATAAATGAATCCCATATAACCAATTCAGTATATTTGTAATGAAATAATTAGGTTTCGTGCACAGATTTAGTTGAATGGAATATATAAATTATTTTTGTACATACTTAGGCCATTGATATTACAAAAAAAATTTATGCATTGTGGCAATTTAATGATGTTTCTCCTTCATAGGAAATCAGCTATATCCTGTGCTTCACCCAGACAGTAAATACCTAAGATCAGATTTCTTCTGAGATTTTATCTGTAAAAGACAATTTTCCCACTGCCGTAGTTTCATTTTCCTGTTAGGCTTTTGTTTCCATGTCTTTGATACAGTTAGTTTCTTAGCTTTGTTCCACAGAAAAAGCCACATCTTGCAAAAAAGTTAATGGGGGTTGGACCTTAACCATATAATTTTTTCAAGGACCCTGCTTTAGGAGAAAATCATAATTGGGCCATTGCAATGGGGTGGATAAGATACCACTGGCAGAGTGTTGCATCAAATAACCGGAATCACTTAGTGGAAAGATTCAAGTATTGTGGTCATTGTCGAAATTAAAGGAAAGGGTGGAAAAGGAGGAAAAGAGAGAAATAGTATGTAGCACTGAGAATGAGATGTGATGTTAATAGAATACCCTACTAATATCCTTATGTATACTAATAATCTTGGTCAAGTACTAGTGTACTGTAGTACATATAGTGCAAGCCCAGTCGAATAACACCCTTACCATAACAAGACTCCTAACAAATGACTAACAAGTGAGAAATTTCTTTCATCTTCAAGATAATTCGCGATGATTAAGCTGAAGCGAAGAGAATTAGACATTGCAACCTATCACTTTTTTTTAAATAAAAAATGCTGTTCCCTTATTTTTGTTTTCTTTCCTCAGGTTATTTTTTGTTCCTTCTGCTTATGTGTCCTGCATGACTTTCATCATGTCTCCCCCTTATTCATTTGAAGTAGATTTTTACTTCTTATGAGACATTATCTGTGTGCTGCACTTCAATTATTTTGATTTCTATCTGTACTTAGAACAAGAAAGGGATGCAATTTAAAACCCTCTAAGTAACTTATAGTACCTAATGCAAATATATTGATAGTTTGTTCTCTAATAATTTTGAAATTTTAGCAACCTCAAGTAAATTGTGTTGATAACTTAAAATACTTAATTTTTTTTGTTTTCTATTTTGCAGTCAATGATTGTTTTTGCCAAACCCATTAAGTTTGCAGTATTGTTCACCTTCGGCAACCTGTTAGCAGTTGGAAGGTAGACTCAATTTCCCCCTTGTTGACCTATGATAGTTTAAGAAATAACTTTTCCCAAGCTACATACACATGCAACTTAACATTTGAGGTGAGAGTATTGTGGGTAAATCCAGTTTGATGTCTGTACGACCATTAACAAATTCTAATTGTTTTCATGCATAAAACCATCCCCCACCAATTAATTTGGGATAAAGGTGTAGTTGATGTTGATGTTGATGTTGATAAAACCATCCCCCACACCGTAATAAAATAATATGAAGAGAAGTGATGCCACCTAAATAGTTCAGTATGTTTCCTGCAAATCTTTTTCTGCCTCCTTTGTCCTCTTCACTGTTAGAGCTCTTTCCTCTCTTTTTCCATTGTCTTTATTAATTGGGCTGATTTTTTTATTTTTTATTTTCCTTCTTTTCTTCTAATATGTTTCTTTTCATTCCCCTTATTTTCATCTAATATGTGCTTCAATTTATTTCTGATTTATAAACATGGTTAGTACATGAGTGCAGTAAATTATATACACTAATTACAGACACTATTTCCTATACCTCTACAGATTACAGTATCTAGTAACAAGGTGAAGAATAAATTTGTACAATGTACATGAGAAGCATGAGAATCACATATTTAATTCTAACGCTCCCCCTCAAGTTAGAGCATATTTGTCATATGCACCAAGCTTGTTACAAATAAAATCAACCCAAGGTCTGCTGTAGGATTCGATAAATATATTTGCTAACTGTTCGTTGGAGTAGACAAAGCCAGTTGTGATTTCGCATGAAAGAACCTTTTCTCTGATAAAATGTGCTGTCAATCTCTATATGTTCTTTGGTACTTTCATGAAAAAGTAGATTAGAAGCAATATATAAAACAGTTTGATTGTCACAAATTAATTTCATTTTCTTGATGTTCCTCCATTTAAGCTGCTGTAGCAATTGCTTCAGCCTTGTAAGTTCGCAGGTTGCTGCTGCCAAATTTGCACTGATCTAGTAGTGACTATGTTTTATTTCTTACTCCTCCATGAGATTAGGCTTCCTTCAACAAAAACAATACCGTGAAATTGATCTTTTATCTGATGGCATACTCGCCCAATCAGCATCAAAATAGCCAACAACTTCAGCGTTGCCTTTGTTTTCATAAAGTAACCCTTCCCCTGATGCACTCTTGATGTATCTTAGAATGCAAACCATGGCATCCCATTGACTATCACAAGGAGCATTTAGAAACTAGCTTGCCACATTTACAACTAAAGTAATGTCTGGTCTAGTTATTGTGAGGTAGTTGAGTTTATCAACAATACATTTATATCTGCCAAGGTTTGTTAGTCACTCCCATTGACCGAGCAGTTTGACAGAGTATTACTGGGACAACATTCTAGCAAGCCTATTTCCTTAAATATGTCTAAGGCATACCTTCTACGGTTGGGCTGGTTGGCAATTCATGGGGTCGATTGGAGGTTGCTGATGTAAAATATTGCTGGAAAAAGTTGTCAATAGTAGAGGATGGTGCTGGAAAGAGCAGTTGGTTGAAGCACAGCTGTACAGCACAGTGAAGAGGAGGATGTTCTGTTAGACTACTGATACCATGATAAAGTAAGAAAGGGTTTGAGGAATTGTGTGTATCAACACAACTAATTTGATTTATACAAAGTTCGTACATAAGTGCAGTAATTATAACACAAATTACAGACACTAATTCCTATATAATCTATAGATTACCAATATCTAGTAACTAGAAGAACAAAGCAATACAATCTACATGAGAAGCGCAATCATGTGCTTAATTCTAACATTGAGTATATATGCTATTGTCGCAGATTGGGTCTTTTTTTCTTTCTTTCTTTGTTTTTTTTTCCTGGTCTTCTAATTTTCTGGATTTAGTTCAGTAGACCTCCAACTTTGTTTTATATATCTGGCAGTACAGCCTTTCTTCTTGGACCTGCGCAACAATTGGGAATGATGTTTGAACCTGTTCGTGTTTTTGCAACAGCCATATACCTTGGCTGTGTTGTTGTAGCACTTATTTGTGCTCTCTTGGTAAGCCCTACTCTTTTGATCTCCATAAGGTCAATATATGAAAGCTCATATTTCCTGAGTATATTAATAACTGGCATTCTTTAATGATCTCATGACTTGCAAATCTTTTTAAAGTGAGAGTAGTGAGGAAATTTGAACAATCTTTCCAGCTGTCTCAATATTTGATGGCCCCAGCCTTTCTTATTTGGATGGATAACTGTATCCATTTTTCATTTTTTGTAGATCCATAGCAAGCTATTGACCATAATTGCTATCATAATTGAGATTGGTGCCCTAATTTGGTAAGTTTTCCTTCAACAGCCCTGTTTGCTGACATAAATTTGTGACTTGAAAACCATATCTACAAATTAAGAACATTTGAAAATAAGTCCTATACTCCTATTCAAAGCATGTTTATTTTTTACTTATATGTATTTCATTAATAGTTCCAAATTGTTACAGGTACAGCCTGAGTTATATACCTTTTGCTCGAAGAATGGTTTCTGATTTGATGATCCGATTATGTGATACAGAGCTTTAAAAAAAAAAAATGCAATCCAAGGTTGTTTCATGTTTTCTCTAGTATACATGGTTGCTCGGTGTTTTCGAGTTGGCAGCATTACTGATTGATATAAAGTTCAGATATTAGCTTTTGCGCCCCATGGAACTTCTTGCTGGCCTTTATGAGAAATTTGTGTTCATGTCCCAATTCTTTCCCTTTCCCTTGAAATATTGAATTAAAAATTTGTTACACGGTTATTGAAAAGGTTACAAACAAAATGTGATTATATTTAGTGTTCAGGAGTTGCTTAGCATGTACCCCCAAATCTTATAAAACGCGGAACTTATATTCTTTTGAAAATTCAAAATCTTGATCGTTGATAGGGCAAATTTTTTGAATTTGTTATGTGTATCATGTTCAAATATTTTTTAAATATTTAAACGACTACATACTATATGCCTACTTAGTAATGGTTTACGTCAATTAGAGAATATATATTAAATAATGGAAAATATAAGAATCATGTTGAAGGAATGACACTGTTCATTCCTGCAACAAAGATCCGGCAACATATCTTGAGGATATGGCGCCGTATCCTGATTTTGATTTGACTTTTTTTTTTTAAACGTGAGACCCACACTTGATTTGTGTGTGCAGAAAAATGATCTTGTCATATGACATGACAAAAAGCGAACCCTTAAATAATTACTTGATTCTTTACTTGCGTTAACCATGAGCAGTTGCATTTTTTTAGTTTTTTTGCATGTGGAAGGGAAAGGAGAAAATAAGGAACTGAATAAGTGTCTTTGTGTATGTATAGGGCCTCGTTTTGTTGGGCCAGTTCATTCAAAAGAAAAGCTCTTTTGCCAGTTACCCAAGTCTTACAATTCAGCAGTGAGTTTAGAAATAGGATCTGCATTTAGTGCATACACTGGTTCCAGGTTAAGCTTTTGGAATCCCCAGGCATGGTTTTAGGAGAAGCTCATGGTTTGGAAGTTTCTAAAACTAAATCAAATATGCTATTATTCTTGCAGCTGGCTAAATAAAAGTCACAGCAAAATATTAACTCATTTCTTTACCTTAAACTCGAATTTAATAGGCACAGTAACAATAGATGGCCTCTGAACTTTAGCCCAATAGGTTCTCTGTATGTCCACCCAATAGTCCAGGGCTTAAGCCTAAAATATCATTTGATCTGACCCCAAAATTTTGAGTTTAAACAATTTCAGCTAAATTCTCACTTGAGCTGTATTCCCAAGAAGAAGAAAAAAAAAAAGATGAAAAGAGAACGTGGTGACCGGTGGGTGTGCTCAACCTAACTGAATCTTCAACTAAACATGTTCCTTTTCACATGGTTAACTGAAGAATGGTTACTCTTTATTCTTATGATAATGTTAGAGATCATTAATACTTGCTTTGGAAATACTAAGCACTTTTAAACACACAATTTTCTTTTGGTTGGTCAAGCACACATTAGAACATTGTAATTTCAAGGTTGATGGACTGAAAATGACATGTCCTTTTAGCATGTCCATCAATCATTAAGTGCCCCCTGTTTTGTGTTAGCTTCATGTCACCCTCTTTCTATTATGTTTGCTGGGTGCTCGTGGCTGTTGTTGCCACCTACCATACCATCTATTGGATTTATATTTTTATTATAATATTAATATTAAAATTGCTGAATATATTAAGTTATTGATACAAAATACCAACCATGCTAATTCCCCTTATCAATGATTATTAACCCATCAAGCCCAAGAGTTAGGTAGAATAGTTCAATCCTTATCACCCGTTGTATAGTTGCTTTCTTTTCCATATTTGTCAATTATCAATAATCCTCCTCTACAGTAAAGGAAAAGGTTGTTGAACTTTTTCATTCTCTTTTTCCCTTTTATTTTCTTTTTCCGCACTATAAAAATAGATCTGCTTAAAAGTTGATTTTTTTTTTTTTTTTGTAAGCATGAGTTAATCATACTGATTCCTAATATTTTTTATAAATTCCTAAAAGTGTTTTTTTTTAAATGATTATTTTGAAAATTGAAGCTTAGCACAACTTTCCTGGCGAAAAGGATTCCAGTGGCTCATTTTCAATTGGGAAAATTTGGTAATTATGTATCCTTTTATCTATGTCTATAAATCTTGTTAGAATCTCATTTATTTAATGTAAAAAATAAAATACCCAAATTTCACATAATTTAAATTTTTAAAAGATTCATCTCCGTTACTTAAACATGTAACACATTTTTTTTAGTGAATCCTGTTAAATAAAATATGACATGGTCAGGTGAGAAAATCATAATTATACAAAGATGAATTAATGTTGATAAAAAAATATTAAAATAGATAGTTATAAAATTATCACCGTCAATTTATTTTTATATGATTTTGATTTTCCATCATGTTTTATTTTTTATTTTTTTTGATAACATACCATCATGTTTTATTTAATATGAAAGGATTCTTTGCTCTATCTTTTTTTGTTATCTTATTTTATTTCCTCATGGAAATAAGGTTAAGGCAAGGAAATGCGCGCGAGATAAATTAGTCAGGAAGTACACCTAACAACTAACTAAATGTGAAGTGAGTTTATATGAAAATATCTTCAGGTAGGTATATTTTTTTTATTAAATTTGAAAATAAAAAATTTAAAAGAAATAATATAACTGACTCTTTTTTTCATTTTGTCCACTCTTTTATAGTTATTGTCATCTAAATCTCACTTTTTTGTGTTTTTAACAAAGGAGTACATACTTATATAATATTAAAAGATATGCGGTTATATACATCGAGAATTATTACGTAATTTCTTTCATTTTTTTTTCCATAAATTTTTAGACTTATTTTTGTCTTTTGTAATTTTAAATATACGGCCATCTTATGCATTTTATCTCTTCGTTTTAATGGCTTTCTAAATTTTCTCTTTCTCTTTCCTTAGTCTCTAATCTATTTTACGAGTATCTTCCTAGCATAGTTATACCGCACTTACTATGAATGTGAATCTTGTGTATTGAAAAGAATATGGAAGATCATTGACTCCGGGAATAATCATTGGTGTTAGGTTTATAGCAAAACACAAATAAACAATTTTAATGAAAATCTGAGCCATTGGCTTCATAAAATGTCATAGTCACTAATTAACTGCACATGAAAGTTTCTAAACACATTTCTAATATATTATACTAAAATAAGATGAATCAGAACCAAATTTGGTTTTGACTAAGCAATTGTAACAAACCAAGGCAGCGGACACCAACTTGATAGTCCATAGTCCATACAGGACAAGTGATAAGGGCATAGAAATAGACAAACTGAGTTCTTTCATTTATTATTAATTACTAATAATACAATTGGGTTGGTGAAATAGTTTATTTCCCTAATGATGATTAATTAAGACACTACTTTTCTGATACAATTTTTTAAATCAAAAGAGAGTGGTAAGCACATGCACCTTAATTTCTTGCTCATTCAAACGTTCCCAGCTACCCACACAAATACACAATGATAGTAAATGGTGAATCACCTACTAATAACCAACCTACCACCACCTACTCAATATTGAGCCTTGCCCTTAGTCTAATAATTTTAGGTTTTATCACCAATCACTTGATCAATTAATGGTATGAGATTATTACATCTTAACCAGTAGTTTTAAATTCGAGTTTTAAGTATACAACTGTATTAAAATTTTAGTAGAGAAAGTTTTTCGTGCATATAATTTTACCCGACTCAGGTTGAATTAATCGATTAATTGATGAACCCGTGAAGAAATTAAAAAAAAAATCCAGATTTTAAACAACAATTATTATACATGGTTCTAGGTTTCCACAAAAATATGGCAAAAACAGTTAGGATTCCGTTTTGTTTTAATGTAATTTTCCTCTAGAAAGCATGAGAGTGGGTTGGTACCCATATTATGATGGTTCGTTTATCCATTATTGAATTGTTTAAAAGAATATTGTTTAGTTGTTTAATCCACAAACGAATCAAGAAAGCACTTTCAAGAAATTTAATAAAGTCATCTATTTGCTTTTCGATGGGGTCTGGATTAATTTCTACCATCTATCATTTGACTAAATCTGATTATCTTGGAACAAATCTATACTTTTGACAAATTAAAATTTCTAAAGCCATCTCCTTTTTGTTTGTCACGCCAATATAATATCAGACATCCACTTATTTCATTTTGTCGATTTTTTCTACTTTCGCATCTTCTAAAAAATGGTACATTTTTCAGATACCATTTTTTAATATAGGAGAGTTTATATAATTATTAAAATGTTAATGGGAAGGGATTCTGTTTGTTTGTTTTCTCTAATTTGCCTTTTTCTCTTTCTTCATTTCAAACCACAGTGACTATCAAGGACTTTAAATGTAAGCAAAAATAAATAGTTCTTAAGAAAAAAGTGTACACACACTCACAAGTGAAGAATATGTCTCCATTACTTAATGGAGCATTCTACTTTTTTTATAAAGAAAAACGTTTCAGGTGAAGGAGGCTTAACGAATTTAAATTTAAATCATGCAATTGTCATTATTAGAAGGTCAACTTATAAGTAAATAATTCCTAACAATCTGAACTTATCAGCCTTGCAATTATACACTTTACTCGGTGAATTATCAAATATAGCAATATTTCATATGTAAATAATTCTGAGAAAATGGGGTGAGCAAAATTTATTTTCAACATTTGATACGAGGAAACTAAAAATAATATTAGGAGACTTTTTTTTCCATTTTACACATATTCCTAAACGAAAATAATATCTAATACATGGTATTTTTATTTTTCATAGCATCAGTATAATTAACTCAATATTTCCGAACAAATTTAAATCTACCAAATATCTTTTCGTAATTTATACAGGAAAAAAAAATTCCACCATATTTCCATAATTTTTTTTTTCTGTTAAAAAAAATATTTCCTCTAACAAATGTTCCTTAAGTTCCGTAAATATGGTCACGATGTAAAGCTGACTCAGTTAATATCAATAGCTATATTAAAGTGAAATCGTCAAACACATTTTAATGTTATACCATATTAAGTATGGGGTTTATATTTGTCATTTAAGATGACACAACTAATGTTGTTAAAATCAAGATCTTAAGTAAAATCAGATGGGGATTAAAAAATCGTAAAATGTAAAATCGTAATGTAAAAAAATCGTAAAAGCGTTTGGAATATTAGTAAAATCGTTTTGATGAAAAAAAATTGTAAAAACGTAAAATCGTAGTGATAAATCGAGATTTTAACAACAATGGACACAACAAACTTTACTACACACATAATATTTTATGGGGTCCACACTTTTTGAAGAAAAAAAAATTACAACACGC